CGCCCCAAGCACCTGCTTGGCAAGCTGGTGCCTGGAGCTGGCCCTGTTTCAGATATTGGACCAATACAAAGCTTCTGTTGGATGTAAGCATGAGGAGAAAAGGAAAAAGGGTGGTGTGGAGGCAGACAGAGAGAGGAGTGCAAAAGAGGAAAGAGAAAAAGAAAATGAAGGGTTGGTCCTCAAGGGACAAAACATGTAGAGAGAACCAGAAAGGTGGAAGAGAACAAATAATAAAATGAGGGTAAAATACAGAAAAGTAGTAAATGAATAAGGAGATAAAGATATGGGAAAAGCAAAACATTCAGCAAGCAACAAAGGGGATTTTTTAAACTATATCAAAGAGACTGAAGGGGAAAGGATAGGTGCTCCTTTTAACTGCACGAGTGTATAAATCAAAACATGTAAATAAGAATTTTACCAAAATAATATTAAAATTGATTATTTCATTTGTAGTATATAAATTGTTTTCCTGGGAAAGTACACCCCAAATATCTCTCAATAAAACAATCCTCATGCATTGGTTCTCATGACATCCTAGATTTTAAACTCATATGGAAACACTAATAAACTCTGCATGTAATTTTTTTAAGACGTAATTTCAAAATGAAAACCTCTTGAATGTAACTTGTAAGGTGGCTTGCTGGTGGAGATACGATAGCTAGTAGTAATGGATGGAAGACACTTTAGGCAGGCCCCTCTTCCAGTATCTTATGCTGAAGAATAACTTTTCATACCTCTTTGTAATGTCTATTCCTGTTTGTATCAAAGCCACTACATCTTTGTACCACTGAAATGTTGCATAGTGATGTACACTTATCACACAAGCACAGTTTTCACCACCTTAAAAATACCACAATTTTGAATCTTATTATGTGCTCTGTTTTTTTCTTTTTCTTTTTTAAATTTGGTGGCCACACTAACTCTTATTAAAGAATTAAAAGATTAAGGCTCTTTCCCCCACTCTTTATAAAAAGATAAGTTTTTAATTATTTTTATTGGTGAATTAGCTACAGGGGAGAGATTACATTAAACTGATTAAAGGACTGCATCTGCTACATTTTTAACTAACTTTTCTCTAGGCCTTTCTTGTTGCCTGTCTGATGATCCTCCATTCTTGTGCATCTTTCCAATGTCAGGGAACTGAGTAATACTCAAGGAGAAAAAGCTTTATAAATGGAGGTTTTATTGCTAAAAACCTGAGAGAGCAAGCTTAAAATTGGAGACTTAAGTGTAGGGTGTGAGCAAAAGAAGCAGCCATGGAGTACAGTCCTATGCAACAGAAATAAAGGTACCTGAATCTGGTTCTAAGGAAGTATCTTTAAGGAAGGAGGGGAAAGCCTGTCTTTCTGAGAGGCAGAGACAGCTCAGGTTTTCAAAGACTTAACCCCATCTGTTTAAAATCCTTATGTCAATTTATTTTCCATTGATATTAAGACTCTAAACTAAAAATCTAGATATTTTTGGGGCATCTGCTGCATCATGTCCTTAAAGTTCACCAGCACAGGATCACAATCTTACAATTCTAGATTCTAGAATTTTCTATGTTTTCTGGTTTTGGTGATCTCTTGAGATCCTGTTCTGAAGCTTTTGTATGTATAACTTCTCTGTGCAGTGGTTACAGAGTTCCTGGACCTCCACAAGTTACCAGAGAGGACTAGCCAGTGCTGCAGTTGCAGTGGGGAACTTAATAAACTTAGGAACTTCCCAATCAGGAGGTTCTCTAGTTGCTGCTCAAAGCATGGCTCTTTGTGTTTGTCCTCACACTAGATTGACACTCGCTAGAGAATGGTGGTGGATAAAGTTTATCTGGAACTTACAGAATGAAATTCTCCCTTCTTCAGAAATCTAATGATTTATATATTCATTTCATGCTTTTATAAACATGTTATATATCTATCTCTTCAGAATCTTTTAAATATTCATCTAAAACACAATAAGATGTTTACACAAGACATAGATATTTTGAGGCTCTATCCACATGAAACCCTCATACGCTGTCATCCTCCCTCCCCACAAGTCTTCCATTTCCCCACAACAGACTTCAGTTACTCAGACTGGGCCTCCCATTGACTTCAATGGCATTGGCTGAAGCCCCTATTCTCCAAATATCTCAGCAGGCTCCTAGCATTACATAGCTCTCCTGTCCTTCTCAGTAGGCTCTAGTACCTCACAATGATCCTTTCCCTTTCTCTGAGACACAACCAACAGGCTTCTGGGGACCTCACCCAAGAGCATTTCCCTACCTGACATCCAGGGGATGACCATTCCATTCTGCAGCAACTTCCCAGGATTCAATATTTGTTTTCGTTCTGCACTGGAATGAAAACAAAACCTTTAAAACATTCTCACCAAAACTGATTTATGTTTGAAATGTCAGTTTTAGCTCAAAACATAAGCTTTTCGATTCGGGATTGTTTTTTGAGTCCAGGGCTATCTGATCAGATACAGACACTCTCAGTGACCAGAGAGTGCTAGTCCAAAGACCTTGTAAAAACCAAAACATTTCAGCTTCAGCAAAATGAAACTCTCTCTAAAATGTTCTGACGAACTCTACTCCCTACATTTGAATTTTGTAGCTCCATTTTGACTCTAAATCATCTTCAGGGAGACAACTGAGGAACTCAAGCTAGGAATGAACAGTTCAGCTATATAAAGATGTTGGGTCAAGTTATTAGCTGGTGTAAATTAGTGCACTTCTATCAGAGACAATGCAGCTACTATAAATTACTTCACTATGGTTTGACCCATAATATCTTTATATGAGAGAGGGGAAAGGAGCACTATCTAGTGTTCACTGCATTGGACTGAGTTAAAGTTCTATTTTGATCTCTGTGAACAAGTGTACCTTAGCTTCCCCATATGTAAAATGAAGGTAATGATACTCATCCACCTCACAAGGGGATTGTTGTTAATGCTCATAGAGCTTTAATTACCCTTAGATGACAGATGCAATATTAGGGTACTATTATGTATAAAATAGCCATGTTAGGAAAGGCTTAGCTGTTGAACTGGTCAGAAAATATCTTGTGGAACATTTTCTTTCAGAGAGTGCCATTTTGTTTAAATAGAAATGTTATGCAGAAATGTGTCCATTTTCAACACAATTTTGTTTTGTTGATAGAAAAATATCAACGTGAAGTATTTAAATAATGAGCCTATCAACATTATTAGAATGAAATGTTTAGGTTTTTCATTTTGTAACAACTTTTCAATTCAATCTTTTATCAGTTTTAATTTTTTTATAAAAATTGGAACAGAGTTTCAGTTGCCCTGAAATTCGATGTGTTACATTTTTATTTTGTGGAAAATTTCTAAAATGTTTTGTTCTGATTTGGAAGGAAAACCAATGTCAAAATGTTGGAATTTCCTGTGGAATGGAAATTCCAATTTTTGACCAGTTTTAGCTAGCTGTTTAAAGTTAAGAATGGGCCTTCTTGGATAATTTGTTTTTGCACATAAACCAAACATAAAAGCCCTCAATTAAGGAGGCAGATTAAGTTATCGCTAGCTGAGTTTGGTTTAAATGAATAACCCTATTCTAATATGCCTATTCACAGGTATGACTGTAACCTAATTTGATTTTTGAAATATTTTGATTTAGACACAGATACATTTTTTTGCTTTAAATAAGTGGTGAGAATTAATCCGTAATCTGAGGGGAGGTTTATAAAAGTGATAAAAGGTTCAATAGCTTTGAAATATGAAGATATTTTTCCCACTAAGGTACATAATCATGTGTACCTAAGTCTGTAAAAATACCTGTATGATATTACATTGGATTATTTCAGAAATGGTATGTGATCACTTAATAATATACTTTATCATAATGTGTCTGGCCTATTATCATCTGTATTGCATTAAACCAGGGGTAGGCAACCTATGGCACGCGTGCCAAAGGCGGCATATGAGCTGATTTTCCGTGGCACTCACACTGCCTGGGTCCTGGCCACCGGTCTGGGGGGCTCTGCATTTTAATTTAATTTTAAATGAAACTTCTTAAACATTTAAAGAACCTTATTTACTTTACATACAACAATAGTTTAGTTATATATTATAGACTTATAGAAAAAGACCTTTTAAAAACGTTAAAATGTATTACTGGCACGCAAAACCTTAAATTAGAGTGAATAAATGAAGACTCAGCACACACACCACTTCTGAAAGGTTGCCGACCCCTGCATTAAACTTAAAATGTGTTAGTTTCCCCCCACACAAACAAGACAGGACAATACATACTCCAAAGACATTCCTATTCAAATAGAATAGACAATCAAACAGCAAAGTAGCAAAATGGTTCAGGTGATGTACATGTTTTGGGGGGGGGTTGGAAGGGAGAGGGGAAAGTAAGTGGTTAATGGGGTTAAATGGGTGAGGTGAGGAGAGACTAAGAATGATGTAATAAGTAAGGAGGGAAAGGTTCAAGAAAGAGATGGGAGGCAGGACAATGTCAAGGGAGGGAAGAGATGATGCAAAGAGACCATGGAAAGATCAGAGTTTATAGACTTAAAAAAAAAAAAAAGTCCAAGAAAAGATTTGTGGCATAAAACTGGGAGTCAAGATTGTCTGAAGATTACATTTTAATTCAGCTGCTTCAATCATGAATATGAGGTTCTGGGCCTTTTTACAGGCCTGTTGGAAAGCTACATCCCCTTCCGACTCTGTGGATGGGGTCAAGGTGGCCTGCTGTTCTGCAGCTGTGTCCAGTGTGGGGGATGGGTTGGTTACCCATAACCTCACACCTCCCCTTCTCCCCACTTCTGTGGTTGCTGGTGCTGTGGGGCACAGTTAAGGTTGCTCATGCCAACCTAACTTTGGGATTTACTGAATTCTGAGTACTTAACCATTTACTTAATGTAGCTTTTGTAAGGAATTATAATTCGAACAGACTATTAAAATATGTATTTGTTTTATAGAATTTTACTAAGGTAATGAGATTGAAAAAGAACATATGAGGCTTTTGTGCCAGAAGACAACTGAATGTGCCCACAAGAAAGATAAGGTTGCAGTAATGGGCACTGTTATATATTCAAATCTTAAACGAGCTCTTGGAGCCTTTCACATAATGCATGAGATTTTAGCTGCAAGAGCAAGCCAACATTTGTTAGGGGAGAAGCTTGTAATGAAACTTTTACCTATTCAATGATGTATTTGCACTCCTCCCAAGAGTGGTGTTTGCATAAACTTGTGGCCTTGCTTCTCACTTTAAATTGCTTCTGATTTTACTAGCTTGATGATCACGAAGGATGATGAGTAATGCAACAATCTTACATTTGTAAATCCCTCAACCCTGAAGTATACAGTTCTGCAGCCTCATGAATGTTGTATCAGCCTGTTTTCAAGTCATATTTAGGCACTCTAAGATGATCCTTCTAATAGTTTCACATGCTGAAAGCAATTTATCTGCATCCCCTCAGCCCCTAGAGACCAGCATCAATACATAGTTGCTTATTTGGCACCAAATGGGATTTATGCAAATGCTTGAGCTGTATTGAAATCTAATGATTTTAGATCTTCAGTATTCCTAATTCTCTTCTTGTGTTCATTATATTACTTACTGAGAAAATAACTGTCTAACCAAGCATGCTTTTCTGCAGGATTGGCTCTTTGTCCTTAAATAACGATAATGACAAAGAGCATGATATTGCAGTGTTGCCCATTTCTAAAGTACATTATGAAAGTCTCACTCACCTGAATCATATTGACAAGCACCTTATTTTGGGCGCCTGTAGCCAGTGTATACTTTTTAAAACTTATTTTCTGTACTATTTTTACCACGGACTGTGTCCTCATATAGGTAGTGGAAGTCAGGGAGCCACTGTTGTTGTTCAGTGCAAGAATCATTCTTTCTGAAAGCTTTTCTTAATATGGGAGCAGATCCTGAAGTGGTGTAAATCAGTATTTCAGCAGTGCTTCGGAGCCCTAGACATAGACCAGGACCACCCTTGTGTACAAACACAGAGTAAAAAAGACCATCCTCCACCCCCACCCGAAGAGCTTACAATCTAAATAAATGGAGCTGCACTGAAATCAACAGAGCTGTGCTGACTTACACCAGCCTGGGATCTGGCCTCTGGATGCTTTGTGTTGCCAGTGTACTCTGTGTCTGTATGTGGTACTCATGCATACTCCATACAATACAATGCAGCTTTAATTTGTACAACATCTGTATCCCAAAAGACTTTACTGTGAAATAATACAGTGAGGGTAATTGCTTTTTAAAATCTGAGAGAGAATTTAAGAGCTATGGAGGATGAAAAGGAAACATTTACAGATGAGATGCGAATACAGAGAGAGAGAGAGACAAGGAGGCTGCTCCAGATGGAATGTTCTGCACTAATGGCAATGAGACGGTAGGTGGTCTAGAAGTCTATGCCAGGGGAGGCACAATGGACCCATAGTCTGCCTGGAATAAGCTTGCTCCCTGCTAACAGAGACCAGTCAATGCTTTGCTATGGAAGCATTCTCATACCCACCCTGAAACGTGCCCCTATTATTAAAAAAAAAAAAAAACCAACATGATGTGACATTAATTCCTTGTCAGGAGTAAGGCTTTCACAGCTGCACCTGCTCAGTACTGCTGACACCCTAGCGAGCTAGATGGGTTGCCTGAAGGACTGATGGCTGAGGAAGCTAGCAGGCTGGTACTTAAGCTCAGCACTCAGCAACAGCAGGTCACTGGCTGCTCAAAGCAGATGGCCCCAGATTCTCTGCCTTCCTGTGCTCATCTCTCGCCAAGCCCTGTTCCTGCTCTGCTCCTCCACAGCTGCAGCCCAGATTTTGCCCTGTACCCAGCCATGATCCCAGCCTTGCTCCTGTCTCAGAGCCCTGCTCTTGTGCTCCCTGACACCTGGGATTCACTTCTGACCCTCAGCTCTGATTTCTGACTCTGACTCTGTCTAGATCAGGGGTCGGCAATGTTTGTCACGCAGCTCGCCAGGGTAAGCACCCTGGCGGGCATGGCCAGTTTATTTACCTACTGACGTGGCAGGTTCAGCCGATCGCGGCTGAACCACTGGCCACAGTTTGCCATCCCAGGCCAATGGGGGCGGCGGGAAGCGGCACGGGCGAGGGATGTGCTGGCCGCGGCTTTCCGCTGCCCCCATTGGCCCGGGACGGCGAACCACGGCCAGTGGGGGCCGCGATCGGCCGAACCTGCCACGTCAGCAGGTAAACCCTGGCGAGCCACATGCCAAACATTGCCGACCCCTGGTCTAGATCCTTGGCATTTAGACTCTGATTCCAGTTCTGACCTCTGGCCCTGTTTCAACACCTGGATCTGGCATTTTGACTCCAACCACTAGGCCTGTCTCCTGCTCTGACCACCTATGACTTGGTTTCCTGACATTGTTACCTGGGGTTCTTTCAACCCAAAGCTCTTGGTAACTTTTACTCTGTGCGAGGAGGTGTCAGGAAATAAATCAGGGGAGACACGGCCGTTCGACCGATAGATGGCTGGCACAAACAGGACAACACAAGAGTACTTTCACTTAAAGCTAAACTTTACTAGTCTCAATCACTTACACACGTCCGCAACAGGTTAGTAAAACACCCCCAACCCTCGATAATTACCGAAGCTGAGTGTGGCTCTCGAGTGGCACCGTGACAGCCCATCTGCCTGTGGGGAACACAAGATGCATCCAGAGGGAGAGACCAGTCCTGAAGAGTCCCCCCAAAGGAAAGTCTGACCTATCTCAAGCTTTCCCCCCTTATTTATACATTAGTAATACAATGACATGTCCCTTACAGAAACCTTGTTAAGTAAGCAGTTTTAATGATAGAGCAAGAGGTTCCTTCTGATTATTGATTAACCAGGTGTGGGTTTTTCCAGAGCCGGCATCCTTGAGACCTCAATAGACATTCCTGGGGCATATCCTACTCTTTTAAAAAGCATGTATCAGCAACTTCAACATAATTCTTATCAGGAAGGACGTGGGGTCAAGCTGCCCTTTCTGTGGCACCCTAAACCCCCTCCCCTCCTGCCTTGGTCAAGCTGCATGGCCATTTTATAGCCTGCTGACTAGGTTGCTTTTTAACAATAAGCCATAGTGGTTTTAGGCACTTTACTGGTTTGCTAAAGTCTCCCCGTACAACATTCCCTCACTTATTACCACCCAGTTTCTAATCTCCCAATTTGTCAGCAAAAAGGTAGCAATGAGAGACCCAAACGACATCTGTTGCTATCTTAGGTTTTTCGTAATAGGCTGTAAATTAGGATATAACTTGGGAAAAGATCTGGTTGTTCTCATGAACGACCTCTATATGACTCAGAGCAGAGGTACAGCATCTCTGGTAATAATACTTCATGCATTTGCTGCATTTGCCGCTCTTGACACCCTCATTCATAGGTTGCAGCTGACTGGCTTGTGAAACCTGGTGAAGGTGGATGGGGCTGTTTTTGTTTGGCAGTACCTGGAGAGCATGTCAGTGCTGATCAGCTACTTCTGCATCCTGAAGGCCTTCATCTTTGAAGTCCCACAGGGCCCAATTCCATCTCTGGTCTTAGTCAACATCCTAGTGAAAACACTATCGAAGACAGTGAGACAACAAGAACTGTGCAGTATTAGCAACACAATGATGTTACACAACTGATTCTTAGCCTGTGCAGCCAGGACTGTTTCCTAGCTCCTCAGTACACAAAGACAACAGGAAATGGAATGAAAGACAAGTGATTCTTCTTAATCCAGGAAAGACTGGGAAACTGATTATTCATGGCCTTGAACATTATACAGCCTTAATGTCTGTGCAAATAGTGCAGTGTGGTTGCAAAATGCTACCATTCTGGTTTGCAAAGGGACTAGAGAGGAGCCAATATGTCATGCACATGTTTTAATTCATGCAAGGTGAAATTCAGGAAGCTAGTATAGTTGTAATAAATGGACTTTATGTTGGTAACCTGTGGTGTTGGTTGTTTGGGTTGGGGGAGAGGCACAAATCCACTTCTCCAGTCTGGGGCAGGCTGTTGACCTGAAGTACATTTTCTTTTCTTTTCTTGACGGCTTTATAGTGTCCCTTCTCCTTCTGTGCATTCCCCTTGAGGCATTGTGGTCACTGGATTTGCATAAGTGTAGATGGAGTGGTCTTTCCCCTCCATCCTCCTAATTTATTTGGAGGTAGCATGAAGCCTACATCCCTGATGTGCATAGAGCTCCAGGTCAAGATTTTCTGCCTGCAGCCCATGTGCTAACAGAGGTTCATACATTGTAAGGCCAGAATGGCTCATTTTGTTAATCTTGTTTGACCTCTTGTATAACACAAGCCATGGATCTTCTATGGTATATAGAGCCTTACACAGGTTCTCCACAATGATATAGATTTCCCGCTCCTCTATTGCCTCCTTCAATGTTCATTGGGGTTCTGTGACTGTATCTATTTCATGTGCATATTTCAAATGTCAGTGGCTATTAGCCAGGATGGGCAGGAATGGTGTCCCTAGACTCTGCTTGCCAGAAGCTGGGATTGGGTGATGGGGCATGGATCACTTCATGATAACCTGTCTGTTCATTCCCTTTGGGGCACCTGCCATTGGCCACTGTCAGAGGACAGGATACTGGGCTTGATGGACCATTGATCTGACCCAGTATGGCTGTGTCCGAGACCAATACAGGTTCGAATGAGGATCAAGTGGAAGGGGGAAAATTGAGACAGAGGCAGATTGCAATTCAAAAACAGGTGGCCGTTTATTAATGGGGAAAAAAATCACAACTTGGGCTGGGGAGGAGCACTTTTACCAACCAACAATACAAATTCAAACAAGTAACCAACCAGAAATATCACCAGAGCAGTAATATAAAACAAGCTATATACATTTAACAACAAGGAATCTACAACCAACTATTTACCAAAAACCAGAACAAGCATACAAAACTGAATAAACTGTAACAATTTGCCCTCTGTACACTATACAAGAGATTTGGTACCAAGTAATAAAGAAAAAAGGCCTAACCAACAGAATATCTACAAAAATCAATACATGCATACCACACTCCAGGCGCAGCTGACCAGCAGTACAGACACCAAGGTCATGATGAGATGGAACCCGAAATTACACGACACGAGCTAGCTAAATCCGGAGGAGATCCTAGCTGAAAGGGTGATCAGGCCTTCCAGCTAACACGCGGACACTCCTGCTGATTTAGACCAGAGACATAGTTTTGTTCGAAGACCCTTGCACGTGCTAGCATCTAATTGGTTCCCCGCTCCTACACCAACTAGGCTCCGAGCTGGTGCCCCCTACGTAACAGGCACTGCACACGGCACACTAGGCTTATGCACACGGCCCGCTGGAATTGTAGCACACGGTACCACACGGTACCTACAATTGACCAGGCAGAAGGTTCGAGAATGGTCACACGGCCCCAATGTGTTGCACACGACACCAAGGTGCTGCACACGACACCGATGTGACCTTCTGACCGACAATTGGCCATCCGGACGCCATGACAGAGCATAGGGCTGCGACAGGCTGTTCTTATGTTCTTATGTTATGTTCTTATGTTCAGTGCACTTACTATTTCGATGAACGGAACGAGTTGATTAACTTCTAGTTCAAATTGATCCGTAGATGAACAAACATCTTCCAGGTATCCTTTTCAAACACAGGTTGTAATATTTCAACTTATCCTGTTTGGGGATCAATTTTTATTTCATAATATCAGAATTTCCCAGAGGATGGAGATTGCATTTTCTGAACAGTTCTAGAAGTGACTATGGAAGTTCTAGAAGTGAAATCTATAGATTCATTATTAGTTTGACTTTTTAGAATTGATGTTAAGTCATCTAATATTTTACATTGAAGAGTGAGATTTACATAGAAAGTCTATGTTTTTTCCCCCTTTTATTTATATATATAATGGGCTTTAAATTGCTAGATGGTCTTGTTAAGTTATATTGTGAGTTACAGTATGTGAAGTAGTTTGGTTGAATGAAGTATTTTGTAGTATTTTTTTCCCTTGTGTACTATGCTCTGTATTTTGATAGTTATTTTTTAATAAATGTAAAATAAATACAATTATTACTAATTAAAATGGTAATCATCAAGATAATCTGATCAAGTGATCAGAAAAAAAACTTGACCATCCAGGCAATGTTTCCAGTTTTGATTACACTTCGGGTTTGGGGAGACATCCAGATGAGGCAGGTGCAGAAAGAAACAATATATCAAGGAAAGGCATTCTACTCATTGCATGTTCTATCAGGAAAACTTCAGAGTTGTTTCAAGGAAATAACTCTTGCTCCAAAGCTGAAACCATTGCTCAAAAAAGTCCACAAATAGAGCATGAAATAAAACTTACTTCAAGAAATGGACACTTAGATTTTCTAGCTGATAAGGAGAAAGAAAAAACTCATTTGATAATTAGGACTTAAGGCTCAACTTTAGCTTTGATATATCCTCCTTTAAATACCATGGATGAGAGTGTGATGCTGCTAAGGGCTTTCAATGTATGGGTATCGATAGGTCCAAATTATGTAAAATTGTGAGGGTGTTAGAGAAAGTGGGGCCAAATTGACTAATATATTGATGTTAATATGTTGTTCCGGAGTTTCAGCACCGATTTTGATGAAAGTTTCTGAACATTATTAAAAGTTGAATCCTAATTGGTTTGAGCTTTTATTGAATGTCAGGTGTAAAGGCATATGTTACTCATATATTGCTTTTATTTTGTTCACTAAGGAATGAGGGAGACAAAAATTTGTATGTTCCTCCTTGGATGGATAGTTAGTTAAAACGGACAAAAATGTTGCATTTCCAGGACAGAGAAGCTTTTCATTTTTCTGCTCTGAGTAAATGCTGTTCAGGTGTGAATTTAGTCAGTGTTAAAGAAGAGGGAAGATGTTATGTAATATATATGGAGTATGTTGTGTGAGGAGGGTAGAAACATTTGGTGAAGTGAGCACATGTTGCTGTAGTATTGGAAGCCACCAGATGGATAGGACCCGGGATTTTTGTAAAATATTATTGGAGGGCACTGTGACGTCCACCATCATGATCGTCTTCTGGTCCTCATTGGTGATGCCTATGTCCTGTCGCAGTTGGCTGTCGGTTCCGGGGATGGAGTTCATGGCCACCTTCCCTACAGGTGGCAGGATGGCTCTGACTAAGCAACCTTGGATGGCATTATGTCACTGCTGCGAGACTCTGGAATGAGGCTTTCAGCTACACAAGACATTGGCATAGCCGCACTTCCTGCATCGCTTGTCCCAATTTTCATGGTGGACAGCTCCGTTCAGTGGAATGCAGTTGAGCCGGGCCCTGTGGATGAACCTCCAGTTGGCAAATTGTGTGAAGCTGCCCCCGGGAGGAAGTGGTTACTGTCCCACTTGCACATCACCTCAAACGCCTTGCCCCGGTCCGGCTTCCATTTCAGGTTTTCTACTTATTAGCAGTGGATGGCATCCTTCAGAGTCCTCTCCAGCATGGTTCTAGCTCTCAAAGTGATGATTGTGTGCTCTGCATTCTTCACCTATGGCCAGGATTCCCAGCTCCTGGCGCTCCTCGCACCACATCCAGTAGCAGCCGATACACTTCTCCAGTTGTTGCGTAGCATTGCGGGCACGAGTCCAGAGCAAAACAAAGACTCCCTCTCCTCCCTGTCTCTTCCAAATTCGCCTTCCAGTGAGCTGGTCAGGTAGGTGGCGACATCTTAGTTGGAGGGGGTCCTGGTGATTCACATCTTGATGACATCCTGAATAGAATTTTCTGTGAT